CCCAGCACATTTCTACTAGCGATGTCCTACTGGCCGCGGCACATTACTGCTGTGAGAGATTTCACTGAATTGGTCTGAAAACTATGATTTATTTACTGTAAATAATTTGTCTTCATCGGTCTATGCAAAAATGTCAAGGCAAAACAATTCAATTATCTTCCACTAGGTGGCAGTAGATGGGTATAGAAACTAAAAAAAACAGTGTCTTTAGGTGTGTCTTTCTTCAGTTCCTGCAAGTATAACATTGTGTTCAACTAAACAGGATCAGGTTTTCCACTGATTTTGTAGATTGTGAGTAAATTGAATGTAGAAGATCGTCATATTTTCATTATACTGACTGAGGTAAAACTGGGGCCGTTGCTCAAAAACGTTTGGCAAACCTTGGTCCAAACTCTGTGATTGGTTCCTGGTCTTTATTATGACATCATATTTATTACATTTCACTGCAGGCTTTGAAGATGTGAACCACTTACTGAACACACAGTGCTGAAGTCAACGTATTGATCACTCACACACTGCTGCACTGTGCTGAGGACCACTGCAGCGGCCAGTTCACACACACACACACACACACACGCACACACATTGGTTCATTTTATATTTCTTTTCTTTCTCCTCTAGTGATTCCAAATGTAGATCTCTCTGTTCCAGTGTTATTAACCTCCATGTCAGGTGGTAAAATTTTATAATCTGACGACTTTTTTAATAATATTTTGAAAATCAAAATGGTTTTGTAGCCTAAGAAGTCTGCATATCCTTTCCGGTCGTATGAGCGACACCTACTGGTTCGATTCTATATATCTTTTTCTTTTTTTAAATACATCACAACTAATTGCAAAAAGAAATAAAAACGAGAGGAAAGACAACAACCCCGCACAAACTACCACATACTTCCTGTCTGGGCTACACGGACGTTTTCCTATGTGAATGTGGGCTCTTAGCACCGCCCCTGGAGGCTGGGAAACAAGACCTCTGTCCTGGCGGCGGAACAGGTGGAGACTGTCCCGTGGATAAAACAAACTCACACCAACTCATCCTCAGTGTCGGTGGAAACTGATTCCAATGCTGTGACAGTGAAATTGAAGATCGTCAGAGGAGGCGGAGAG